CCCCCTCCCCTCTCAGCTACTCCTCCGCGGGGGAAAGGAAGAGAGGTGGAAGAAAGCAGTTGTGCCCCGTGCCCCCTTCCCCAGTCCCGCGCGTCCCGCGGCCCCACGAGGTGCCGGCCCGGCCGCCAGCCGCACCGACCGGCCCCTCAGTCAGGCGCCGCCAGCCCCAGCGACCCAGTGCCGACGGCGACCAGGTGCAGAACACGTGGACGCGCCCCAACGTGCGTGGAGTGGACGAGAGTGTTCGCGACGGGGACCGGCGCCCGCCCGCAACGCCAGAGCACCGCGACAACGCGCTCCCCCGGCACCAGCTGCGGCCACGGGGATCTACTGCACCACCATCTGCAGCTGGAGTCGCACTCCTCGTCACAGTGACCGGCATCTGCAGCTGCAGCGCAGAGGGCGCTCTACAGCTGGCGGGGACGCAGGACCGCCGGACCGGACCGGCATACCGCTGAAAGTGCAAGTGGTCGGCGTCGCCGGGACTCACACCCCCGCCTGGATGACATAGGACCGCTGCAGACATGAAGGTGAGCGAGTATGCTGGTGTGCGATTCGGACAAACTCTTGCGCCACACTATAACCTGCCTTTGGACAGCCTTGGCGGAACGTTTTGCTCCTTTTCGCGCGAGGCATTCAGTAGTCTAGTAATGTCGACGCCGCAGCAAATCGGTCACGAAAAGATCGGCTCCCGCGACAAGAGTGTCTGATGGTGGGAGCTGTGGGAGCCACCCCGACCGCCGCTGATGGTCATTTATGCCGCTGTGGGTGCAGCAGCAGGGGGTGCGTGGCGGGGGAGGGGGGGGGTCATTGTGCCCTAGCTAGCCCCCATCCCGTCTGCACCGGATTGGATTGAGTTACGCCATCGCTGATAGAATGTGTAATTCTCTCGACGCGCCAGGAGGTGAGATGAAGGTGTGGCAGGAGCGAGAGAGAGAGAGAGAGAGAGAGAGAGAGAGAGAGAGGGAGGGAGGGAGGGAGGGAGGGAGGTAAGGGGGCGACCGAGGACTTTCTAACCGACAGGAGGATATGCCGCGCCATCGGCAGGAGCGCGCGCCCGCCGCGCCGGTCGTGAGGCGACGATATGCCCGCGTGATCAAAGGGGCAGGGAAACTTGCCAATTTTACATCAGCACGAGTAGGCAAGCAAGGTCAACACGAACGGTGAATACCATCGGGATCGGGGGTAAGTGAGGCCTTCAGCAGTGCGGCCCGGCCCGGACACTCAGTGTGCGTATACCACTATTTGCCAACAGCAACAGCTGTTCGTTTTGTTGTTATCTATCTGCCATCATTTTTTTTTTTGCGTCCGTTACGGTTAGCGCGGTGCGGCCAGCCCGGAGAGGAGTGCCCGGAGATGTGCTTTACAGAGCACCTGCAGGTGCGGAGTAGGGGATGACAGCGCCGGAGCGGGGCAAGGGCGGGGCAGGGGGAGCGAGAGGCGAGCGGCAAGAAAAGTTGCAATGAGAGGTGCAGAAAAGAAGTCTTCGTGTGACAAGCGATGTTCCCTGCACACTGCACAGCCATGGGTGCCGCACTGCACTGCAGCTTCAGGAGGCACGGACCTTAGCGCCTCTTTTGTCGAACAAGTGTTGTTGGGGCGCTTGCGCATATGATGGTGTACTCCGTGCGCTTGTGTGCGTGCGTGCGTGTGCGGCTTGCCCTGTTTGCGAGGGCTTGCGCCAGACTGGAGTACCTCATCAACACACTGCATGCACAAGGCGTGCTGAGGATGGTGATGGCGGCGAGGGTGATGGTGCAGGAGTGCTTGGCCGTGCCGGGGAGCGGGTGGGGCGGTGCCGGCCGCACGCGTGCCCGGGCAAGGAAGTGCGTATACTGCGCCCGACTTTGGCTCGGGCGCGGCGCGTGCCTCTGCGTGCGCATATCTGTGCGTGCGTGTGTGCGTGCGTGTGCACATGTGAGTGTGTAAGTCAGTACGAACATGGAGTGAGGGTGTAATTGCCCCTTTGTTGTGATTGGTACGAGGCGGGAGAACCGAGACAAAAGTTCGCTTTTCGAGTCCATTTTAGAAGAGCCTATTGATTTGCCGCTAACTCGTCTACGATGTGAGCAATAAGGATCATGCAGATTTGAGTCAGGGGCCTGGCGCCTGGCTGGCGGCTGGGGCGTTGCTCACTTTACAGTCACCAATTCGCCTCCGCACTTCTTGTTTTATGACACTGCACCCGCGGTTCACTTCCGGTATGATCATCGTTTCGCAGCCTGTGCCTGTGTGCCTGCCACACTGCGCTGAGCTGCGGCATCGGCCTGCTTTGAAGTATACGTCCATACGTACATACTCACTTGCTCGACAACATTATTGCGTTGACCTGCTGCTTCCTGCTGCTGCAAGAGATTAAATTCACCGCACGAGGCTAACGGGATGCGGGCTTCACACGCTGTATGTACCCCGAGTCTTCGCAGTTCACACACGAGATGACTGCCCCGCCGACAGGCCCTGCGCTGCGCGTTGACGCGCGCCCCGGTGGCGCTGATGCCAGCACAGCAAGCGGTCCGTCTAGTGGTGGTCACTTTGTAGGTGCTCTAGTGGGTGCCACAGGTGGGTGGGGTCCGCCCGCAGTGCGCTGCAGAAGTGCGTTACATCACGATTATTATCGTGGAGAATGCTTCACTCTCGCTGCGGAGGCCCCTTCCCCGCTCCTCCCCGCCCCGGACAGTGACCGCGGTTTTGCAGACGCATTGTGCGTGGCGCGCCGAGCGGCTCCACAAAGAGCGCATTTTGCGACCGTCGTCCTTGTGTTTGCCTCAGAAAACAGCGGAAGAAGAGTTGCGAATGCTATGGGTAAGCGGCGCGGCAGCGGCCCACTCCAGATCCGAGGTTTCTGTGATGCTATCACTGCAACGAGAAAATTCGCGCGCGTTGCTTTGATTATAAGAATACTGAAAAAGTGGTTGCAACACGATGAGTTCCTGCAGCAGCAGCGGGCGGACAACGGCAGCTCCCTCGACCAGCACAGCAGCGCAACCCCCCGGCCCGGCATGCCACCCGCAACAACAACAAAAGTTCACCAACCATTTCGATATGTTTTTCATATCCCGCGGGCGGCAAAAATGCTGCGCGGGCTCGGCCATCATCACAGTTACATGTGCGTTCTAATTAGTCTGGCGCGAGTACGCATGCCATTGCCGGGGAGGGCAGTACCGGACGTGCGGGGGCGGGCGGCGGAAGCGCGCGCTAGGGGTCCAGGGGAGCTCATCTGGGTCGAGATTAGAGGGAAGCTCCACCTGCTTGATCTGAGGTGCGCCGGGTATGCGCACACTACTTTACCGGGCTCGACTGCTCTGCTCTGGTATATATGGCAAGTTCCTCGTATTACGCCGCGTTCGGTGTGGAGCAGATGCGTCTGATGGTTATGCATGACGGAGCATCGTATGGACTTGCTCACGCCCTTGACTTGGTGTGTGTGGGTCATGGAAAATGGGCCACGCACATCGCGGTTTAGTACTGGGGTTGAGATAGGAGGGACGGTCCGCAAAAGGCGCGACGAGGACAGCGCGCTGCTATGCGTCCCATAGCCAAGGAAGTAAACAACGATTTACTGTTTGTAGTAATCCTTGTTGTTCATCTGTTCACTTGCAGGGTCCTTGGGTATGGCTCGTTTTTAGTCGTGGGAACCTCGCGGCGCGAGTAAGGATTTCAGGCGCACTGTTGTATAGGTAGTAAACGTGAGGGGCAAACTAGGCGTTTTCGGCGCTACGAGTCCCGCGCGCTCTCTTGAGGGCTCTTTGCTATGGGTGTTTGCTCTACGTGTGTGTGCGTGTGTGTGGTCGGGTGTGACACGCAATAGCAGCCTCACGGGCAGGTTGGGGGAGGGGAGCGTTTAGAGTCGGTTTCGTCGCCCAGCCCAAGGGG